TCATGCCCTCCCGCTTTGCACCTTCATACCTCGGCCTCTTCCCTGCCCTTTCCCTCGTCTGCATCTCCCCGGGACCGCGCCACCGCCTGCAAGAGTGTCTGCCCCAGTGTTCCTATTGGAGAGCATCACCCCCCAGGAGTTAGTGAAGGTCAACCCAAACAAGTACCAATGCATGTGCAAGAACCGAAAAGTCGCCCTGTTCTCAGCACAGCTCCAACAGGAGGTCATCCCTACCCACAGCACTCCCCGTAAAGGTTTTTCTAACTGGGGCTTTACCTGCCAAGCCCCAGCCCTGTCTGAGCCTCGCAATTCCTAGAGAAACACGCTTAACATCTGTCCTCCACTGCATCTGTGACAATTCAACTTCCTTCTCTTCCTGGTCCCGGTGAGCAGTAAAAAAAAAAAGCTTAATTTCATTGTTTGTTTACCTGCTGAAGGCAGTTTGCAATCCACTCTTCAAAGCTGTCTTTCCCACTTAACCGCAGTTATTCAGCTCCGTTAGTCCCTAAAAAGTTCTTGTCACTCCCCCAGTAATTTTTTTTCCTCAGTTTGTTTCTGGAACACTATGCTGGTAGCAGCAGCGGGACTGTGCTGGGAACAGCCTTGAGCTTGATAAGCTACTTAAGAGCAATAAATACAGTGCACTGATTATCAGATAGCTCACGCACATGCTGCAACCACGGAGGCATGCACTGCACTCCCCTTTTTCCCCCAACTGTCTGACCTTTTTGGCTCCCAGTCTGGTTTTGATCCTCTGTAATCCCAATTATATTTTTGTGCGAGCATGTGTGCAGAATCGCAGTCTCGCCAGCGAAAGCCATCATGCATGGAAACCCCAGAGTGGCAGCTCACGTCAAAACCTTGCATCTCTCTCCCTGCGAGCCCTCGGGTACAGGTGCCTGAGGTGGCCTGGCTGCTCCAGAGCCAAGCGTGAAAAACCCGTGTATAAAGATGTGAAAGGGGGAGCGCACAGGGGTGAGCTGCTGGTCTGTGCTTCTCCTTTCTGGGAGCAGTGGCTGCACTAGCGCAGATTTTTGCAGGTACCTTATATTTGGAAATGGCTGAAACTTGTTTGCGAGTAGCTTGGGGAGGGGAAAACAAACAAACAAACAAAAAACAGAACAAAAATGCTGAAATTCGTCTTGAAAACACAGTGAAGGATCAAACATGAAGAATTTTAATCCGCAGCCTGGTGTGAACTGTGATCTGTCTGGTAAACACTTAAGGCACTAACTTGCTTTTGTCCTTGATCCAGAATATCCTGGGGTAGCCCAACAGCACGTCCTGTGAATAATAAAGACAGCAGGTTAAGGCTGAGACAGTAATTTACATTACAAAATAAAGCTTTAATCGATCTCAATGGAGAAATCAATAGTGCAGTGAACAATCCTGAGGGTTAATGCTCTATAGGATTTAACAGTTCTGTCCCCTTTTTTTTTCCACATGCTTTTTTTTTTCTTAAAGGGAAAACACAACTACTAGCAGGAACTGAAAGGCTTCAGAGCATGGAAGAGGCTCTTGGGGATTTCAGCTGACACTTGAAATCAAGGCTCAGAAGTTATTAAAGCCAGAGAAACAGCAAACTTAAAAAAGAGATTCTTCCAAATCACCTGGCAGCAAAATAACCAACACTGAAGTGCTATTGAGGTCACTCTTTAACATCTCATCAGGATTACAATAAGGTAATCCAACGCTGTCCCAACTCCCAAGCCAGGCTGTCTACAGGCTGCAGAAGGCAACCCAACCCACAGGTCACGCTCCAAGCTTCAGCAGATTTCACAAACACACCGGCTGCACATTTCTTTTACAGCTGCCATCCCACCTCCAGAGCAAACTCCTGGGGTGGAGACGAGCAAGTCACCTTCTGCCCCATGGTCACTCCACAAGGCACCACGTCCTAGAGAGAAGGGAAAGCTACTGTACGACCCAGACTGAGGGTGTCACACACTGTCCTCCAGCTCTGAGCTGCGGTCCCCATGGTGTGGTACACCACTCCAAGCAGAACTTCCCTCTTCTTCCTTCCTACAGCCCTCTCAAACCCACCAACCACAGATCATCTCTAGAGCACGTGTGTTTCACACATGGCACCTCTTGAACGCTCTGGAGGAGATCCAGCGCAGCAACAGACTTCTGGCCTTGCCGCCAAGGTATGTTTTTGCAGCCCTGGTACACCCAACACCCTGGGGTGAGACAGGAAGATGGGGGAGGTTGTGCATTGAACCCCATGAACTTTCTGGAGTAGCCTTTAAGGCAGCATTTGAGAACTATTTTGGAGGAATCCACACGTGCTGCGCTTTCATGATGTTACTGAAGTTACTCAGCATTATTGCCCAAGGACTCAGGCCAGGATGGAACTCAGAATAGAAGCACACAAGGCACTAGTGGCACATGGGGTAAGTGTCCACCTCCCCACTATTTACCTTCTTCAGGAAAGGAGGTGAAACAGGACCCCAGTCTCTCACCACAAGCATGCATGTCACCCAGGTCCCTATAGAGTAAGATGCTCTAGCAGAAATTACATAGCTGCTACCAGTGTTGAGATCATACTCCCCTCCTGGACACACTCTGCATGCACACATGCACGTGCGTGCTCCAACAAACGACAGACCGATACATCATGCTGGTGCCGTTAGCTTTAGTGGCTGGTGGCCATCAGCATTGCTCTGATGTTCCTCCATGAAGCCTCAAGGCACTGGTTTTTGCTTTCCCCTCCCATTTCTGGCATGAGGAATGCACATACTTGCCCACTGCTTGGTTGCCAATTTTCTAGCGTGGGTTTTGGCCACACAGGCCTTTTTTTCCTTTGTCATTTCCTTGCCAGTACACACGTGGCATGGGAGGAGAACTGGCTGACAGAGGCAGAATAGCCACCATCTCCTACAGATACTCCAGGACACATGCCAGCATGCTGCCTAGGCTCACTTTCCTCCTCCTTGGAGGATTCACTCACAGTTTTGCCACAAGTATTTCTGAATCCCAACCACGCAACACTTTTTATTTTTTTTAAAAAAAAAAAATCCCCTGCTGTAGGCATCCATGCTATCCCACATACACTGAGGTCCCAAGGAAAAAAAGGCAATTAACTGCAGATGACTGCAGCAGCCCTGAGGTAAAGGGCAGCCTCTGCCACTCCCATTTCGGAGAGGGCCACACACACAGAGCAAGGGCATTAGGGCATTTCATACTCCTCTGAGCTATCGCAATTAAGATCAGCACATTCAGCAGACAATGGAATGAGCTGTTCCTGCTCTGGCTGGCTCTGTGGTAACACAGAAATAGCTCCTAGCTATTCCATTTCCCAGGCACCAGAGGATTTCAATACCCTTTAAGCACCATCTCCCCACTTTCCAGCTGGTACTGGCATTAGCACAGTTGCTGTCATGCTCCAAATAAGTCACAAGTGTTATTTCTTTTTCTTCCTTAGCGAAACGACTTCAGAAAGATTTTATTCGGTTACCAAATTTCACCTGGCACAGGTATCAAAGAAAAAGTATCGCTGTGATCAGGTGTGGCACTGGGAAAAGAAACACATGAAACGAGATGACACCATGTCCCCATGGAAAAAGGATTTACTGTGCAGCAGAACTGCCAGGGTGCTGATGCACGAGTGGAGTAGAGCTCTTCCAAGCCCCATAAATTTCCCTGACAATGTGCCTATTGCACTCTGCCCCAGATCCTCTCCTTTGATAAAGCCAAGTTCCAACTCTGGAAGGGGAGGCCCAAGGACAGAAATGTTGTGCCAAACAGAGAACGTGACCCCTGGCAGGAGTTTTTAGAGACTCCGTGGCACTCAGAGCCTTAGCTGGAGGTCACTGCAGAAATAAATGGGCAGAGCATCTCATCAGTCCAGCCAGCACTCAGGAGGTGAGAGAAAGGCTGAAGTGGGCTCACCGCTGGTCAGAGAGCCAAGTAAACACGGCCCACAGGAACGAGGCCCCAAGGAGCAGCAGGCCAGATGTGGAGCACTGTCCCAGCTGCTGGTCCGAGCACTAGTTTCTTTGTTAATCTTGGTCGCGGCCCATTTTGCCCGTCAGCCGCCGCCGCTGAGTCTTGGTGGTTCGCCCCTTGCTGCATTTCTGGATTTTCTTGCGCAGGCCTTGCCCACGTTGGAGTCTCTTTCCTCTCGTCTTTTTTCGGCTGTGCATGTGCAGCGTGGCAGTAAGAGAAGAGATCCTGCACAGAATGGGAAGAGAGGAATGTTTGTGGCCCCAAGCCTGCAGGAGCAGGGTGACACCACAACAAGAGCAAGAGAGAAAAAAAAAGGGGCCCCAAGCCACAGGAAGCCCCAGAGGAACACCACCATGCTGGGCACCCCCCTGACAAGCCTACACATGCAGCAACAACAAAAATATATTTCCTGAGCAGTGGGCAGAGCTACGAAATTCTCCACATCCTCAAACTAGTTGTAAATCCTGGATACTGAAAAATGTGGAGAATGCCAAAGTTTTAAGGTCTTCCGACCTTGAATCCGAGAGACAAACTCTACACCCTGCAACACACCCTTCCCTGCAATATCTGCTGAGGAGGAGGACTAGGTAAATAAACAGTTCAGGATGAAGCCCGCCCTGCGCCACATCCTCCTCCTCTTGCTGCCGCGGCTGTCACCACGGATCAGTTCGACGGGGAATGGAGTGTCCGGGGCAGGGCTGTGCTCTGCCAGTGCATGCCAGTGCCCTCTGCTGGCTCCTGCCCACTGGCGCCCAGGCAGCTCCATCCCCTTCCTGCCACCACAGCGCTCATCGGAGAACTCCAAAGCTCCTCCTGACAGTGCATGCAGCCTAGCAGCAGAGTTGAATGAATTTATACATACTTTTCAGACAGCAAGGGATTTCTGGATTTCTTTGGCATTGTTCTTACAGGCTTGCTCGCCACCTCTTCCCCTTTCTCTTCTTCTGACCCATCATTTTTTCCCTTAAAAAAGGAAGCAGAAAAGAAAAAAAAATCATCCCTATAGAAACATTAAAATGTGCAGTTTTGAGTCTAGTGTTTCTGCTGCCTTCTAGGTTTCATCCTGTTCTGAGAACCAACTAGGCATGGATAAAAAAATTCTTTAATTCTTCACATCCCTCGCTGTCCAAATTTTGAGGTTTTTTATCACAGCCCCGCAGAAAAGGACAGCTGCTGAGAAGTCCTACAGTATTCCACCTTAACATCCACAAATTTCAACATGCTCTTAATGGACATGCAACTGAAGCCTAAAGTAGGAATTAAGGGTTTCATTTTTTTTTCTTAAATCACTATTAAAACCTTTTTAGGTGGCTTTTCAGATTAGAAGATGACCTTACAAATGTAAAGAGTTAACTACTAAACAGAGACACTTTCCCAAAACCCTTAAATCTAGTCAAAGATCAAAGGGATCTAGTCAACAAGTGCTTGAAAGCCTCTACGTAATAAATACGATATTCCAGTTAGATTTTGAGAATAAAAGCAATCACATCCAGAACTGAATGGTCTCCTTATTTGTAATCCAAGCACAGAGTGATGGAGAGAGAAATTCCTCCTCATGCTAATAGTGATTTTTCCTTGACAGGACATAGGAAAGAGGCTGAGGATAGCCCACAGAGCAAAGTCTGACATCATGCTGTTTGCATTGTATCAGCTTTTAAAATACTGCATTCTGCCCATCCAGTCCTATGACATCCTTCACTTACACAAGGTCAGCTGGGACTAGGAAAAGATTCTGGGGATGTATGGAGTGAGCTGTTCACATAGGACATTTCTTCTTCTTTGGAGGCCCAACATAAGTTGTGGAGCAACGTGGAAGTTAAAGAGTTGCCCTTTTCATCCCTGCTCCCAGTCAGCTGCAAATCTCTGAGCATACCGTGGGAGTACCAGCCCTACCTAGGGAGCCCCAAGAACGTTTGCAGCTGATAGAATCAGAAAGGCAGCAAGAAGCTTTACCACAGGGGTGGTCAGTCCCAGCTGGCGTGCCCCTGAGAGGTCCAGGTCACTAATGGTGGTCACAGTTACGACGTGGTTCGGGTGGTCGATGTTCACGGATTCTGTGCGCGATGTCACCAAGTGCTCCAGTTCATCGGCCTCATCTGCAGGAGACAAGAAATCCCCCATGCAAAGCGCCCGGTCTTTTCACAAAGTACGGCTGCTCGTCACGTATGGCCGGGGTGGGAGAGCAGGGTGGGGGATCCCCAGAGGAGCGAGGAGCCAAAGGTGCGAGGACGGCCTGCGAGCACCCCTGCTCCGGCTCCCACCACCCAAACAAGGGCGTC